CAGAAATAAACAAAACGGTCACTGCAAAGGACCACAGTTCACTTCACTGACGTTTCACAGTTGCACTGCTCAAGTTCATTCAGCAGTGCAGTGGCAATAAAGTAATTTACCAATCTAGCAAATGCAGTAAAAGACGTCTTTGTTTTTTCCTGGAAATCTCTGTTTAAAATCTATTTTGATATATATTATCCAAAATATATTTGAGTGTTATATGGGTCATTCTACAGAATCATCCATTTTTGTGTCCCTAGCATTTACAGATATGTTACACTTCAGAAACATGTTAGGGTTACAATTTATTTATATTTTAAAATAAAACAATGTTATTTTAACAATTGCACCTTCTTGAGCCATCAATGTAGCAGTATTGGTTTTAAAATCAGTTATCTAGAATTCCAAGCACCACAAAAGTGCTTGTCCCCACAGTCATGTGTAAAGGGTAAGGCCATATTTTAAAGACAAAACACATTTTAACTACAATGATCTATACATGACTATGGAATATATGAATTAAATGACATAAAGGAAAAAACAATCTCTTAATTTTGAAATTAAAATCACACTGATGACATCACTTGACTTCCTTTTACCTTTTTTCTGAAGATCTATGAAGAAAAGCACAAGTCCACTGTGTCTTTTCAGTTATCAGAAATTTTCTCATTTTTCTGATTTCATATGAAGCTTTTAGTTGAAGTCACCTGTGTGACCGACTTTATTCTTAGATAATTGTGAAAAAATAGAATACAGATGGATTATATTACATATTTTAGTGGTTATTCCATGATTGATAACGTGGTCGGATGCTGTGGAGCAGCCGTTTTGTAAAATGCATTTTTCATTAAAAATGTCACTGGTGTTACCTTTCTTATGTGTAACACCAGTGACACTTATCAAGAGATAGAAAAGTGGATGTTTCTGTAGAATGACCCATATATTTAATTGATGTATTTGATTTGATTTATTGCATATACCATTAGAAGTGCACTTATTAGTAGAGTACACAAAGTACAGAAGTGTGTTGTTTAGGACGCAGCATTAGATCAGCTGGTGAGATGCATTCAGCAGTTCAGCAGATCCAGTGTCTGATTACAGCTCTCTCTGCTGCTCGTTAGCTGCTCATTAAACATTTCCAAGCCAAAGTTTAAGGTATTTGTTGATTAAGGACACATTCATTGAGATAAGCTGGTGTTAGCTTTGTATCCACCAGCTTCTTGTTTGAAATTCGTTTTACGTCTCCTCTATGTAACTGCAGCACCATTTAAGGTGGACTGGAAAGTTTAAATAAGAAGCTTTCTTCAGCTTCATATATATGTATGAGTTTATTATTTAAGAGATTTAGCAATTTTGGTAGCCACTTTTATTAGTTTTTTGTAAAATCTCACACATTTTCTGAACTCTGGAGATATGCAGACTATATGAACGCAGCCCACCAATCTATCTTCTTCCCATAGTGCTTTCTGGAGACTTTTATCTAAAGTGTCCACATGTTTTTCATGGTCATTCTGGTCTATTTTGCTTTGGGTCTTCATCCACCTGCAGGGTTGTAGCTGCAGCAACAGTGATGAGACCGGCTCTATCAGAGCACAGTCTGAGTAAAAACTTGCCTATCAAAATTGTGACAGGTTTTTCTTAATGATGTACTTGAATACTGTGAATAATCATGCTGTTTTTACAGAAATGTGAAAAGAAGACGGATGTCATTTATTATTACAAAGCAATATATTTTAGTTTTTTTAGTTTTCAGTATTTACTCTTCTCCCCAGTGAACAAATTTTCCAACCAGCAAAAGTAGCTTATTAACTGGCTGTGGTTGCCAAGCAACATAATGGTCAAAGATTATTAAACAACACTTTACTTGAACTCTGCTACATAACATTGGCATAACCATTCTATAAACATATCATGGCAGATGTCACATGATGTGATGAGCTATCAGATTATATCCATTTTACATACCATGTTTGTATATTCCTATAAGTTATAAACCACAAACATAAAAAAAACTGTATTGTGCAGCTCTTGGAACTGGAACTGGTTTGGTTAGCTTCCCTTGGATGTTGATTAGCCAGGCTTTTTGAAATGTAAATGTTACTCAATCGAGTACAATGTTGATAGACAAAGACTGCTAGAATGAATGGTGACAGAGTGCTGATGTTGCTTAATGAGAGGATCAGATACCCATTCTAATACCACCTCTATTAATTTATAGAGTCCACCTCTACTCGGTTAAAGAGTCCACCTTTATTCGGTTTCAGAGTCCAACTCTATTCGGTTGTGGATTCTGATTTTTGCTGGAAGTGATTGAGCTACTGTAAAAAAAAACAAAAAACAAAATTACCAAAAATTACCAAAATGAAGAAATACAAAAAAATTAAATTTAATGTTAGCATTTCTTTTCTGATTCTGTATCGAAAATGCGCTGTGATGCAGAAATGACCATATGTATCGTATCACAAAGTTTGTGGATCATTACATTACATACATAATGCCATTTACTTAATAAAGCATCTTATGTCATCTTGTACTGACAAACTGTTCTTAAATACAAAAGTATTGCTTTTTAAAAACATTATTCAGTGCTTAAGCATGAGTTGTGAAGTCTCTATGTAGGTAGCTTTCAAATGAAATGTTACCAAACGCCTTCTTGCGTCTAATTTATAATATTTTATCTACAACTTTATCATTGAATAAAATAACAACTGTTTATATGACAAGTGATTCCAAATTTTTGAAAGCTAGTGCATGTCTGTCTGCTTCTCTGTCTCCCTTTCTGTCTGTGTGTCTGTCTTGGAGTCTTCCTTTTGCCTGATTTGTTTTCAGCGCATGTGCCACCGTATCACTATCCCGACTCTTTTGTCCGTGTTAAGCATTCATGTCAGCAGCTCAGGAGGGCTTCCCAACATGCTTTGAGCATTTCTTTGACTGGCTGACTGGCACACTCGCTGAGGCTCTTTCGCAGTTCAAAAGCAGCAGCATGCACAGAGTGGAACCTTTTAGGCAGGAGAGCGGAGGATGAGAGGTGTTTTTCTGTGAGTTTTGCACGTATCCCTGAGGATCTCTCCCTCAGCCCTGGAGGAATGGATGGGGTTAAGGAGTGAATGCAGTCGCCTGGCTGACACTGATAAGGTGATTACAGGGAGAGCCCACTCTAACTGCGGCTTCTCATTGTCTGAACATTTATACAATTGCATTATGCCAGGAAAGCGGCAGCTGCGCTGATGGAGCCTTCTGCAGAGCAGAGAGCCAAACACAGCCTCAGTTTCTTGCTGCAAGTTATTCGCATTATAATATGCACACAATACACATCATAGCCTGGCAGGTGGGGTGGATTTTAGGCTGTGTATGGTTGGTCCTGTTTTGTATTGTCACTGCGCTGAGAATCTCACTGTCGACACTTGAAGTTACACCTGCATCTGTTTCAGAAAGTTGTTTTCTTCGTTCATTTGCAGTCCTAGACTCACTACCGAGCAGCTGCACATATCAAAATGTTGTGTACTGTGCATGTACTGTTAACAATAAAGGTTCCTCAGTGGTTCTTGGCTTGGACAATACCTAGTATAAAACCATTTGTTAGCTTTTTTAAACTTAGTACTTGATTATGCTAAGGGTTTTTATGAGCTACATGCTGTAGCCTCTTAATTAACCAGTATTCTATAAGCTCAAGTCTCTTACTTAACACATATGCTGTAAGCTAAAGTCTCTCAATTAATCAGTATGATATGTTATATAACCTCTTAATTAACCAATATACTTTAAGCTATACACTGCAGCCTTTTGATTAGTCAATATGCTAAAAGTTATGAAATAACCACTTAATTAACAAATATAAGCTATAAGGTAAACCCTCTTAATTAACCAGAATTCCACAAGCTATAACTTATAACCTCATAATTAACCAATATGCTATGAGTTATAGCCTTTTAATTAACCAATATGCTATAAGTTACGAGCTACATGCTCTTAATTAATACGCTCAGTTAATCAGTATAAGTTAGAACCTCTTAATAAACCTATATACTGTTAGCAATATGCTCTGAACTCTTAATGAATCAGTACGATAAGTTATAACCTCTCTATTAACAGATATATCATAAGCTATATGTTATATTCTTTTAATTAAGCGGTATGCTATAAGCTGTCAGTTATAGCTTCTTGATTGATCCATATGCTATAAGTTGTAAGTTGTAGTCTTTTAATTAATTAAGATGCCATAAGTTATAACATCATGGTTAACCAGTATGATACAAGATGTAAGCTATAATTTCCTAATAAACCAAAATGCTAAGAGTTATCACCTCTTAGTCTTTGGTATTAAGACCCTGAGTCAGGGACGGCCCTAATTTGCATATGTGTTTGTACGTGTGTGGGTTTGTGTGTGTGTGGTTTTTGCAGGCCTGAGATGAGCAGTTTGTGGTTGTGTGAGTTGAATGGTAATGCCATTCCCTCTACCTTTCTCAGTGTGTGGGGTTCAAGCGCTTCACCTCACTCTCATCTGCTCACTGCTCTCCAGAGAACCCTTCCATGCTCACTTTATTGAGAGGCAGAGTGAAAAGAGATATTAGCTGCTGATCATTTCCACCCCTTTCGAGCACTCTGACTGGTGACATCATCTGGAAAACTCACAGTACCAGATACGGTATAAAAATAAATAGAACTGTATAAATCAACAAGGCCAAATAGGAGATAAGATCACTGACCAGTCTTTGATGTTGGCCGTTGTTCTTATCTCTTATTTGATTTTACTGCTTCATATATAAAAGTTCTCAGCGAAGGATTTTGTAGCAGTGCTTGTTCGTTCTATTCTAATGGATATTGTTACTGAAATGTCATATTCAGATATATTCCAGAGGAGGTGACCCTAGTTCACTTAGACGCCTCATACATATTGGCCTGATCGCATGCTGTTTGCAAAATAGGCCACAGTAACCCATTCTGCTGCAACTGAGACTGCAGCAGTGTCGGTCTGTTCTAGTTACTGACACATTCCTTTCCCCTGGCAGGATCTCGGGGCTCGTACAGCAGCCAGCACAGCCACCTGGGCCCTGAGCTGAGGCCCCTGCAGTCCCCCGAGCACCACATTGAGCCCATCTATGAGGACAGGGTCTACCAGAAAGCACAGATGAGAAGCCTGAGTCAGAGTCAGGGGGAACCCCTTCCCCCAGGGCACACTGGGACATACCGTACCAACACAGGTAAGGTCCACAGATGCAGACTGATGTGTGTGTGTGTGTGTGTGCATGTGAAAACATGACATGTTTTGTCATTTTGGAGACATTTGGCTGGTCCCCAGCTGTAATCTTGTAATCTCGTAAGATCTGTGGAAATTCTGCACTACATTTGAGTGGGAATATAGACTTACTAGGATGGAAACAAACTAAGTGAAATTTCTAAACCAATCCAATGCCTCATAAAAGCGGAGCTTAAAGTAAGTGGTGCTCATCAGTGCTGTCCAATGAACGATAAGCCTGTCATTACCCAAAGGATGTAACGTAAGTTAGCATGGCACCCTCCCCCTCAAAAGAACACATTACACGAGGTTAAAATGACATTACCTTTTGCAAGGGAAAACACTTCCATTAAACCAGACTATACTTCAACTTTAGAAGATTTGGGCTGGTTGACAATGAGTTACTAATGCTTGTATGTGACTTCTGTCATTCACAGTTGTGACAATACAACCAGGGTACATGTATGTGGTAAGAATTGGCAGCTACGTTTGGAAAAAGACAAGCTATCAGATTTGTATTTGAGCTAAATGATTGTAATGTTACTCTGGACATTACAGCGTTCGCTTGTGCATGTACACGTATCACGTCGGCCCCACCTGACTAGTCCCCACTAGTCACATGGGTCTTTTCTCTTTTTTATACAAAGATGTAGGTTGTATCTAAAAAAAGAAAATGAGCTTAAAGGTTTCCTTGTGGTTACTGAGCTAAAGAGAACATCAGGGTTACCAGCATTTAGCTACAGCAATGCAGTAGTCAGTGGAAAATCCCATAAAGATAGAAATACAGAAATACAGACTTGTGATGGAGTAATGTTTTTTTGTGTAAATGTAAGTTAGGGTTGGGTTACTTGTAGCTTCAAGTCAGTTTGTGTAAAGATTTCCTAGGGTCTGAGTTTGTCGTGATTCTTGAGTATTTATCATGCAAGGCTGAGCCTCAAGCCTCTGGGTATGAGTGCAAGTTGAGTCTTGAGTCTTTATTAGCTGCAGGTATTGCATTGTACAAAAGCAAACGTCTACTAGATAATCTTTTAGAATGGACAGTTTCAAACAACAAGTCTTTCATTATAGAAAAGCCATCATTCTGAAGGACAGAACTGAAGCACTACATGCAGCAAATGCAATGTTTGAAGGAAACAGCTTGAAACATTTGATTAGTCTGTTTATTTACAGCATGTAAACTAGCTAGCTAGCATAATAACTAATCTAGATGAAATTTAAGTACGTTTTCAAGACTTAATGCGATCTGTAACTTGGTCAAACTTTAGCTAGATTAGCTGACAGCTGCAGCTATAATAGCTGGTGCGCTAGCTAAAATGAGTGTACTTGCTATGCAAGCTATGTGCTAGCCAACAGTTTCAAGTTGTTCAATCTCATTCTTTTGATTTTATGTAGGTGTGACTCTAGTCCAAGTCGCTCTGCTTTTAGCGCAGCAGCATTTAGCTACAATCTTACAGACGTCAATAGAAATACCCCACAAAGATGGGAATACAAATTTGGGTGGATGTGTGCATATTGTGTGTTTTAATCCCCACCAGACCAACCTTTAGGATTTCTGCAACAGCATCAAATCCTTGGCAAGCCAATCTGCCATGACGCTAGCCCACAGCTGAGTGGTGACCTCATTAGAGCTAGGCTGGATTAAAATGTGTGTGCGTGTGTATTTATGTGTGTGTGTGTACGCCTGCTGTGAGAAGCATTCACCTCATTGTATCACTTCACAATAACCGCCTCAGTGCTTTCATATTAGCACCCCGTTTGGCTTATCTTGATTTCAGGTCAGGTAAAGCATGCTAATCCGATTAGATGCTAATTATTTATGTTTTTATTTATTATTTTTGGTAATTCAGTCATGCCACATTATGCATTTTCCTCAAAGGTATTAGTTAGGAGAATTGAAATGATATAGCTTTCCTGTGAGTGAGAAACATTAAAATCATCTTTACGTTATGTGTTTTTCCCAGTGTTTTTAGGGCCCTTTTGGGAGCTTAAGTCTCTGAACTTGTCTTCGTGCTAACATTAGCATCTGTTACGCAACTGCTGCATTTCAGCCACTTATTTATTGTGGAAATAAACTGGGGTTGTTAAGTCTTATAGAACACGCTGCACAGAACTTTCATTTGAAGTCATTGTAATCCCCACTTTGTTCACTTCAGTTGATCTATCCATACTTTGCCTACAAATGCATTCTTATAGCAACTGTTAGAAGATTGGACAAGCTTTACAGAACGTTAGCAAACATCCTAATGAACCTAATGAGAAACTGTAGCTCATGACTCAAACTATGGAAACTAAGGGCATTATTAGACATCATATCCTGCGATAATTTCCTCTTTTACAAGGGCCACTTGTTGATTCTGTCCAGATCAGCCATGTCCGTGTTCTTAGCAGCGGTGGTCTGATTATTTTAGTCCGGCCTAAAAACACATCTTCATAATTTCCCAACTGCTCATGTCACCTTATGTTGGAAAAAAGGCCGCTGCTACTCACCATATCTGGTCTCCTTGCACATGTATCCATATTAATCTTTTCCCAAATAGTGAAATGATGGATGCTTCTGAAGAATCATTCAACTGTTTTCTTGGCCTGGTTGGTATAACTTGGTCCCCATCTTCTCTACGCTGGGAGAGCATTAGCTAGGGGAGAAAGAAAACAAATTAATCAGGAAAGATCCCAGCTGCAGGTATAAAGCATTACTTTATTTTCACAGTATCATCAACATGTAGTTTTCTATGCGTATATGACCGTATGTGGGTTTTCTGCATCTGGGTTTGTAGAAAATACAACCCACTAGAAACTCGCTAGTGGTAATCTTAATGCTATCCAGGTTGCGGTATCAAAGATGTCACCCTGATAAACTAATTCAATCCGTATAAAGCCATTGATGTCAAATGAAGGTTATTTTCTATGTGTGTGAAAGGTCATGTAGGTAGTATTTGGTGTAGTGTTTTTCGTTGAATCGAGCTAACGTTAGCATAATGGCAAATGTCCTTGTCCAGCCTTCGTTCCAGAAATTAATGGTTTCACATGGAGTTTTTGTGCAACATCATAGCTATAAATGCTTAATGATTTTTATGCTAATTTTCTCAGCACAGAATATTTCAACACTGATGTGATATTTTTTACCACTTTTGAACACCAGTTACAAGACTTTCTAACCTCGCCTCATGTACATTCATGACATTAATGAGCACAAACAGCTTCACTCAGCTAACGAGCTGATCAGTTGACCGACCAGTCAGCGCTCTGAAGCGGTAATGCTACTGAAAAAAACTCTTTTGCTGTAGAAAAGTGGAAAGCTACTGGTGAGTTTCTTTGATATTTTAGTGGAATACATTCTTCTACTTCCTAAAATTAAAGGAAGTTCCCACATAAATTGATAACATTTTTTATTTTTCATTATTAGCTGTTAAGTTCCGTTCACCCCCCATTCATTGAGGACTCGCTTACGGGTGCGTTGTAGTGTTTTGCAGTCTTTTTTGGTATAATGGGAGAAATAGGAAGTGGCCAGGCTCCTCCTAAACTTGCTCTTGTCCAGCTTGCTAACAAAGCATTTTGAACAGGAAACTTAATGCTATGCAGTGAATTTAAAATTGGACCTAAATATATTAGGTTGAATGGAATATTTATCAAAGTTCAGTAAAACTTTCTCATAATAGTTACTACAATAGAACACATTTGACCATAGGTCAGTAGGTGTATGAAACCACAACTACCCTACTAATTGTATTAGACACACAGATGTGTGCTAATCTAGCAATAAAACAAATTAGCAAACTGGGTCAAGGTTACAACAGAAGAGATGGCGCAGCAGAAATAGAGCGTGGCTTCAGTTCCCGTGGGTATGCACAGTCTAACTCAGTATATGAAGAACACATCAGACTGGCACATCTCATTCTCTTCATGTATCTCTCAGTGTCGGGAGGTTGAGGCACACAGGCAGTGTGATGGAATCTCACAGCACTCCCAGAGACGAAATGTCAAACTCTCCCTCACCTAGCTCAATTGTGCAGATAAAAATCCATATAGCCAGTTTTAATAGGGGTCCGCAGTAGTAATTTTCCTCTCTTGATATGGCCAAGTGTCTTTCTGTGACCTTTGTGAAGTAGAGCTTATGATGTGCCGTTGAGATTTGATTCTCTTTCAAAACTGTTGCCTTTGCTTAATGGCTTGGTAGCATCGGAAAAAAATTGTTCAAAATGACTTTCTTCACATTGTTTTCTCCTCCCCGGGTGGCAAGGACTGGGAGACGATTCTTTTTTTCCCTCCCTTTCCCTTCAGATTCTCTTTCACACTTCCTTCAGATCATTTGACCAGCTTGACTGATTGAGTTAAAACAGGCGGTCTGCATAAAACAGAGTGCGCAATTTTTGTAATTGTCTAAAATGAAAACATTTTTACAAATAAATCGCTCTGCAGAAGACTTGCATGCTGAAGCTGAAGGCTTTCTGAGATAAGTAGATGGTCATTGGTGCATGACTCATTGTTTTGTTAAACAAAATAAAGGCTGGGAATGTAAGATTTGGAATTTCTACGCCTCGTGCTGTGCTACACGAGTGCCTGCATTATGGATGGAAATTTATAATGCATAAGTTTCCTGCTAGCATTTGGTGAATAGATTGGAGTGCTACTGACATGGAGATTATTTGTCATAAGTGATGTTGAATTTTTTCATCTGGGCTTGGTACTCATTATGCCTCCATTATTTCCATTATGATGGTTCGTTTTTAGTCTGATTAAAGTTATAAGTCACTTGTGGAATTTCTGGAGCTCTATTATGTTTCTAATGAAGGCTCCCTATGCAGTTCAGTGAGTAACAGCACATGAGAGCCATCCCAAGGCAGGGAAGGCCATTCTAGGCAAATACATGAGATTTTATTCTCAGGGCTGATGTAAGTGAGCGCTGGCTAGGACAGAGCTTATGCTTGAACCTTTATTGTGCCTTCACAGAGGACGTATAGTACAGAA